AATAAAAAAATTTTTTTCGCGTTACCGTCATTTTTCGGAAAATTAGAGGGGTACAGTTACTTATGACCAGTATAGTAAATCTAAGTTTTTTCTTGATGGATTTTTAATTTAACATTATACCATTTAATCACTAATCTCATGTAAATAGTGGCGAGAAAGCAACAAGGTATTCCTGGCATGGATAAATTTCGTATTAGGTTATTTGTTTTTAATATATTTTTTTTAATATAATTGAAGCTGTTTCTCATGAAATTTAAACTAATATTTTTTTTTTTACATAATCCTTGACTTATGGCATTTGAACACCTATTTATAACCACTCATAAATAATGGCACTTGGATTTAAAGTGAGTCTTTTAAAGATTCTAACGGTACTCAAAATGATCATCTTAAGTGTCAAAATTTAAGGTGTCAACTCTCAATTGCGCAAACCAAAGCCTCCGCTGCAGAGTCCAAAATTTCGGATTTAGAGTCTAAACTTTCGGTTGCTGAAGAAAAAATTACGGGATTAAAATCTAAACTTTCTAATGCTGAATCCAACTATCACATTACCCTTCTTGAAAATAACAAACTTTTTTCTAAGGTTAACGAATTACAATATGAAAATTGTGATCTCCGTTGTCGGCTTTATTCTTCCCAATAAGTTTTTGACTCCCTTCTTATCATTTTATTATCAACAAATACATTTTAATTTGGCAATATGTTAAGAGAATTCTATCAAAATGCTAATTTCCGACGTGATGTAAATGTTCTTTAATCAAAAACAAGCAACAAAAGATCCCAATGCCATTATTTAATTCTCTTTTACTTTCCAAAAAAAAGAAGAATAATAATAATAAAATCATTAAGAAAAAATGTCTCATCCAAATGTTCTAGATCAGTTACTACAATATTCACAGCAATCTTATGATAAAAAATAATCACCAATAAATTATCATGGACGAGTCCTCTTCGATCGCATCCCCGAATTACGGACTAACAGACTCGCGCCATCAGTACCACTCATAAAAGTGCCTTTTCCACCTTGGTAAATCCAGAAGAATTAATAATCGGGCCAAGAAAGACAAACCCATAAAACCTCCTAATGCATTCATGATCTATCGAATGCAGTATGTCAAAGAGCTTCACGAGAGGGAACACCGATTACTCATGAGAGTGTCTCAGCTGCTGTAGCCTGCTCATGGAGAGGAGAGCCGGAAAATATGGTAGAACACTATGAGGATATTGCGAAAGAGGTCAACCGTATTTATAATCTAAAGTTCCCGAAACCGACTTCTCCCCAGAAAGGATCGGGAGTACGTCAACCACAGCGAAGAAGTAATGGTGTCAATAATGTGTGGATGTCATAAGCCAACGCCAATAGGCTCCTTAGCTCAAATCAACGGTCGCACCATCGATATTACACGGGAGATAACGCTCTCACGCATAATTGTTATTACTCTCACGAGTGTACAACATATTCCGTTTCCATCGATATCGGACACTCTATATTCACACTTAATAGGCCTTCAGTGTGTTCGACAATGCCTTTGTCTAATTCTTATTCACCTACATACCTCGTCGACATTTCATATGCCATAATTATCTCATATTCATTCCTTAACACGGCTTCATTTAATTATATGGATGAGGTCACTCAAAATGAACGAGATTTTGCAACTGCGGCTCATGCTTAATACATGTTTTCGCGAAAAAGGAACATGATCGTAAATCCCTTGTTTTCAAAAAAAAAAATAATCCGATCATTGTCGTTTCAGAAAAATCATCAAGTTTTTTCTATTTGAGAAATCCGAATCTAACTTTCTTTTATATTATATAATATTTGTTGTTGTTTTTTTAATAATATGTACAAAATACGTGAGCCATAAAAACGTGATCTTCATGGACCCGTGAACATTTTCTTATAGGTATTTTAAATACCTTTATCATTTCCTTCTTACGGTAAATGGATTTTTTATATGAATATTATTGAGTTTTTTTTTAAAAAAAAAAAAAATCAAAAATACATGTGCACTATATCACAAATTTAAAAAAGATTATTTTTTTTTTCTCTCAGAAATAATCATGACATATAGAAGGACGATTCATATTGCATTTCGGGGCAAAGATGAACATATATTTCTAACAAGGTTATATAATACGCCTATGATATTAGAGGTAAAAATGAACCTGAATTCAAACACGTGATCTCCAACAACATATTCCGAAGTATCATATTATAAATGCACGGAAAAATCAATATACGTAATTATATTAATTTTAGTTTTGACCTTTGAATCTTTCTTATTACATTAATATGATAGTAATTTACCAATTCAAAATGCCTCAAAAGTCCATTTCTAAAGAGAAATGCTGCTTGAGAGCAACGACATTAATATCTGACATGTGATATCGGAATTTTCCGCTTATTCCGCCCCCCATTTTAAAACAATGGTCATCTATTTTAAAATACTATCAATTAAACTTTGTGATCTACGTATATACTGATACGGTGGGAAACGGCGAGTCTGTCGCTTGCACGCAGGTCTTGTCGCGGCACGTCACACCGCAGCTAAGTAGGCCCACTTTGCACTATTTAGCTATATGGTTCGTGTCGTCACTAACACTTCTTTCTTCTTGTCTTGTAGGCGAAAGAGTCGATTGGACTTGATCGATCTTCGTCCGTCGATCACCGAGATCACGGGCGAAACGAAAATGTAACAACACTGGAAAATACAGGGGTTTATCACACAGATAAAGGTTTCAGTCGTTAAATGAGCACACTTGCTGCCTTTATTATTAAGAAAGTTGGGTAAATTTATACATGTTTCCATTATCCCAATTATCCTCTTTATCTCAACTATCCTCATCACGATACCCAATATAGGATCGCGTGGGAACTCACCCTTTTTCCCCTATAACAATACTGTATAAACGATGTTCAGTATTATTTTGATCCGATCGAGTGAAGAGATCGTCCTATGTGTAAGTGTAAAGGAATCTACGAATATTCTTTACCCATGAACGTCCTCAAACATATTAGTGTCAGAAGGGGAAGAATAATAGCGACTATAAGAGCATAAATGCTATGCTGTGTTTCTATCAATTTTAAACAAGGGTATGTTTGAATATCACGCCTTTGCATTCTAGAGTTTAGAACAAATTTTACCATTACTAAATGCATCTTGTTAAGTTAAACGGAATATACTTGGGATAAATATCAAGAATATGAAAAGTCACTTCGTCTAACAATCTCATAAATTTACTATCATAAAAACTCATTAATATTTTTTGTGGTATATTGCATCATGTACGACGATAAATGTAAACAATAAATTTCAGAGGACAAAAATAGACGAATAATATACATCCTCCAGATATCCAAATACAGTAAAGTAATTTTTTCTAGGTAAAATTGTTAAAAGTGTGAAGACGCGCTCGGAAAAAATTCAAATAAAAATTTTTTTTTCTCTTGACGATTTTTTTATCCCAAAATTCCAACACTCAAATTATATTATTTGAAAAATTATGAAACGAAATCAACAAAAAATTTCTGGAACTCATAATAGATTGTTTTTTTAAATATTTTTTTCTTATAATTCGTTATTTCACTTGATAAAATTTAAACCATAATTTAATAATTTTCTTTTTTTTTCTCATG